TCTTCTGAACAGAAGGATGGATGCATACTGGTACCTTAATTTCTACCTTCCTCGAAGAGGAAAAAAACTACAATAGCTAAAATATGCTCATCATAAAAACTGATTCAAGAATTCCATTGATGTCCTATGATCTGGCTCAGCCCATTTCAGAGTGCACAAATGGAACCTCACATGTGGATTAAAGCTCTTTTTGCACATTGCAGTTTATTCCCAGCATCTTTAATGAAACTCCTCTCAAGACACGAACATTAAGCTATGTTTCTTCTGGCCTGTTCTTCATCAGGAGTAAAATTCTGCCCTCAGACTTTATTAATGATTCTGTTGATGACACATGATATGAAACAAAGCACAGCTCATTCCAAAAAAAGCAGCATTTACTTTTCTAGGCTAGGAGAAACATTAAAATTGGTGACAGCTAGTTCTCTTAGAAAATTAATGATACTAGGTTCAAAGTACTGATTGCATATCCATAAGAGGTTTCATGTTCAAAGAGGAACATTTGATTGAACTGAGTTTATATATAGAAAGACAGGATTTGTTTCTTTCAGGATCTATGTTAGATTTGGATTAATTTCTTCTAAATGCATTTTGCATTTTCTTACTACTTTTTTTTCTGCAATACTTTGCATACTTTTGTACCTCACTTTATAAAACCCCACAAACTTTAACATTTAAAAGGCAAAACCCACGTTTTAAGACCTGACTGAGCAACTGGACCATCAACAGCCAGAAATTTTGCTTTCCCCTATTTTAAATTGAACTGAAAATACCTGAATCGTTCATGAACCTTTATGTATATATTTTGGTGTTCACAGTAAGAACGGTATGCTGGGTATGCCCACCTTTCCTGTCTTGCAGCAATCCTCCAGTAATGGGCAACACGGGACACTGTAGACTTTCCCACTAGGAAGAAGATCAGTAATTGGCTACAAAACATCGTAATTCTTGTTGTCTAAATCTAAGGTGCTCTTAAAAATGAACAACAGTATCTGCAGTTTGATCAGTGCAGCAGCAAGAAAAATAAACCAATGAAAACCCATTAATCAATTCAGTCTTTTTTTTTTTCTGGCATCTTGCACTGCAACTCAGTATTACTGCATCTGCTAAACCCTAAGGTATAGTCTTTCAGATTGTTTCAGACCTCAGGTACACAGCTAGCACAGATTCCCATCATAAAGCTTCTTGTACCTGATTAAAAAGTTAGTTGATCAGAACCTCAAAACAAGGTGTAACAGGTTTGTCAGCTTCATTTGGGTATGGTTGTCATATATTGTCACCTGAAGGAGTGTCATGACTAAAGTTAATCTTGAGGACATGGATGGGGAGAGTAGGTGCAGGTTTCTGATTACTTTAATGGAAAAGAGTTCCTTCAAGTAGTTTAGCCACTTCTGCCTACTGTTTAATCTGAAATACTCTTTACTCCCTCAGAATAAAAAAAATAGTGGTCATTAATAGAGAGTGATCTCATTATGCTTGATAACTCCCAATGTATTTTTCTTCCAATGCTTTGTCTAAACACTTTTGAATTGTTATAATATTTGAGCATCCATAGTACTCTGTGGTAGAAGTTCCAAAACTAATATGCTTAACTTCTCATTTCCAGCCTGCTCTTGTTGCCTCTGTTTTATTTACTTGTGCTGACATCATCCTTCAGACAGAACACCTCTTCCTTCCTAATGTTTATGTGAATCCTAACTACCTCAATAAACTAAATTTTATAGCAGAATCCTGAAAGTATTTCCACAATGCACAAATCAGTACTGTATAGAGATATCCAAGACAGTTTAATGAGCTATTTGAGTGCCAAAAGCAGCAGAGCAACCTCCCTTGGCTCAGGAGGGTAAATTAACCCAAATGAAGAATGACAGAATATTTCTATGCAACAGCATATAGTACTTTAAAACCATATGAAGAAAGAGTGATCATATAGAAGAAAATCTATGAAAGACTGCTACACTGGAATCAAGTGACAGCATTGATTCTTTATTCACATTTACATGGAAATGCACATTCATACCATGCATTGGCACTGATGCCAATGTTGTAGCAGCTCTGTATTAAGAAATCCTGCTTGCCACATGTGGTTGATCAAACCAAACCAGTACACAGAACAGATATGAGCTGTCACATTGCATGGCAGTCCAGCATTATGGTATTGGGATCAACTTTTCACATAAGGAATGTGCTAAGTGCACATCTACATAAGAACAGCAGCTACAGACACACACTGATCACACAGCCTAATATGCCAGGTGATTCATCTCATCATGTCACCTGAAGCACAAGCAAAACTTGCACGGAGTGTAAAGAGCTTCAGATTATTTCAATACTTTTTTAGTCCTAAAAAAGAGAGTAGAGAGCTCCAGAAACTACTCTTGAACAAGATTTACCACAGGAAGGGGTAGGTATATTTTGGTAACCACTATTAGCACACTGAGATGGCCCCAGTTTATAAGCTGCTGTTTTCTCTTTATTCATCCCAGCAAACAGACAAAGTAGAGCTCAGTATTCCCACTGAAGGAACATAAACTGTCCTCACAGTAACAGCAGGATTAGGGTGCAAATTGGTTGGCACTAGAGGTAAATATTCTAAACAAAATTTAAGATGAGTTTCACATTTCTGAAATATCAAGGGAAATTTATATTAAAAATTAGAAATTTCAAATGTTAAACTTCGTGTGTGTAGAAGTGCAGAGAATATTTTCTGACACTTGTGCTTTTTTTGTGCCTGCCTACAGTGGAAACTATAAAGATTTGTCTGTGTGCTGGGGAACAAACAAAAGGGATGCAGAGGAAAGCAGAGCTGTGCTGTGAGTTCTACAAAGATTGTTATTTGATTCAAAGACATACATCTTGGAATCCCAAATCAGTTTGTCCCCTCAGAAACTTTTCATAGAAGGTAGTAATAAATCATTCAGGTATTCACTCAGTCATTCACTTCACAAGTCCCACTGAGTGCCATGTATCTACAGACTGCTATGAATATACACAAGACTGAAAATACAACCAAGTTATGCAACAAACAAATCATACAGGAGTTGTTCTGGATGATGATAATAGTAGTGATAAAATTGTTCAAGGAAAAGAACAAAATTCAGTATAAATCTAAAGAAATAAACCCTTGTTATCAACATGATCAAAATGATTGAGAGAACTATAAAACATTATTTTAATATCCCTCCATGGGTTTTTCCATCTGTCTAGAAACTATGAAGAAAACACAGAGAAACTGTGACACAATCACATTCTGATTTATCCTATATAATCTCCATCTCCACAGACAGTAGTACATGTCTATTGGTAATATGTGTGTGTTTTCAAGGGCAGAAGAGTTCTGAGATAATAGATCTAAATTAGGAAGAACCTTTGCAAACCAAAATATATTTGGAACTTTGCCATGGAGCAGAGCCTGAGGAAGTTCCCACTGATATGCTCACTTTAAATAAAAACCACAAGCATAACTTATATTCAGCAACTGTCTATTAGGGAATGCAAGGTTTCAAGTGACTTCTTTGTTTATTGGAGTTCACTGGGATATTACTAGCACAGGACTAATCAAATTTATGTGGAAGGTTTAATTAGCATATTTGGACTTAAACCTAAATTTTAGTAGGTCTAATTAAATCCCTGGGATTTGATTTTTTAAGGTCACATACACTTTTCCCAGTACTACATCAAAACAGCAGATTTCCGCAAGGTAAGAGTAGCTTCAAGCAGTAACTAAAGATAGCTGAAGTGCACAGAGTTCAGTGACAAGGGTTCATTAGCAGGAAAGCTCATTCAGAGCTATCTGCCTCTTGTTCAGTTGAGTATGCACATATTCCACACACCTGAATTAAACATACCACAGCGATTTTCTGCCCAGACTCACTTATATACAGATAATAAAAAACAGCAACATAATGATAATATTTTGGGGGAAAGGGAGATTTTTACATGACAGATTTTTTAAAAACATTTTCCTGGGGAAAAAGAAAAATATACCCTGGAGTAGCTGAAATTAAAATCTGTTTTGTGATTGAGGATCACTGTTTGTATACTGTTTATAAATGGAAATAAATACCATCACAACAGCATATTTATTATGAAGACATTCAATAGTGTGATTCTTCTACCACTTTAAAAGGTATTATGGAGAAAATCTACTTTCTAAATAGACAGACAAAACCATACATTTCCCTTTAATTTTTGAAGAATGCATATCCTGAGTCTTGGAGTTTGTCAAACTAAAATCTTTAGCTGAAACCCTTTTAAAAATGTTTGTAAAGCATTTGCATTGTGTGGTTTTGGATTACAAAACTATGCAGGTGTACCCATGAGCAGGCAGCTCTCAAGTTTTTTTCAAATGAATCGGCAGGAAGATAATTCTCACAGTAATATTGGACCTCAAGATTAACTCACCTGACTTTTGTTTTCCATCCATTTCACCAAAGTATTTGTTTTGCCTGTTAGGAAGGTTTTGAACATGCCAACAAGACTACATACAATACAACATTGGGACTACTGGACAAGCCAAGCAATAAAAGGAAAATGAGAGTTACAGTACTTGCACCATTTACTTCTATTATGAAACAGAGAGGCATTACCACACTACATGCTGTAAACTCAGATGTTCAGAGATTACTGGGCATGTCCCCAAGCTGTGCACCTCCACCAGAAAACTGTAGTTTCAATTCTCATTTGCATGTCACATGATTTTATAGATTAACATTGCACAGACTGATATGAATATCTGCTCCTGCTGAGAGTGTGAATATAGTATCAATTAAAAAGGCTGGTTCTGGCAAAAATAATAGAGTAAACCTACAGAAGACTTCATGTTATAAATCCATTGACCAGAAATGCAAGAGAGGAAAACCAGAATTCCCTGAATATTTGAGTAGACCTAAATTTCCTATAGCTGTCGGGGAATAGTTGAACATCCTGACAGAAATCAGAAATAAACTCATGCCTCTGCATACTAGTCATATACAACAATAAGGCATCAAAGCAGCACTTACAGCTAGAGAATATCAGAGGACATGAGTGTTCATCCATTGGGAAGTTGTGTAGCTGCAGCTGGCACTCGGCATTGATGGTAAGCCTGTGAAGAAACCAAGTGTCTGTTATTACATGCCAGTACAATGAACAGTCAGAGGAGGAGGCTGGGAAACCTTAGGTATCATTCAAGAATATTCTGACATCCATAAGTAAGGCCGGAAAAGAAAGAACTATATTTGCAGATTGTTAGTTTGCTATTTAAGTCTGATCCAAAGCAACGATAACTATGTAAAATAATTTCAGACACATCATCAAGAGTTTCTTGATCCCAAGAAATCTGTGCATGTGTTTTTCTCTAGACAATTTATTATCAAAGGACCTGGGATGGAAACATTTATTCTTTATTAAAAAACTCAGGAAATATGGTTGATGTAGTGGTGTGTAATTCCACATAATTAAAACCTCATAAAGAATCTTATAAGAAATCTTATCCACATATACTTAAAGTGTGAACTTAAAATCCTTTCAGCCTCTTTCAGCTGTCTCTCAATATATGTCTATATGCCATTCTATATTGTACAGATGCAACAAACATATCAGCAGAAACATCTTTAGTCCTACTTGAAAGCTTGTTTTACATGGCATCCCTAACACAAAGGATACTATGAATGGAGCTAATTTAAAAATTACTAATAAAAATCAATAACCTTCAGTCTGATAGCTTACAAAGTGAATGTATTTACCCAGGGAGATAGAATTCAGTGTTAGTTTATTGTACAATCTTTTTCAGTAAACACTACATAATTGCATGCCAGAATTTCTGCAGCAAGTTTGGGTCATGTGGGTTTTTCCTTTTAGGAACTAAATAAAAAGCTCACAAACTGGATGGGGAAAGGTTTGTGTCTCAGATTTAGGATGGTGCAGAGAAAACCTCTGTCTTGGAAAAGGTCACCTGTGAGGAATTTAATAGTGTTATTGTGCTGATGGTAGAAGAGGACTTGCAGTGCTGCAGCAGGAGGGCATTCACATCCAGAAGTAGGCAAGGAAGAAGATGGAAAGGCCTGGACCTTGATTGAACCTTGTATTTTCTTATGAACACATAGCACCCATCAACACCTGACAGTACCAGGGCATACAGTAGTTACCTCTTCCATGTCATACCAATTCTGACACTTAGGTAAGATAAACTGGTTTTGAATTACACGGTGTTAACAATGGTCAATGATCATTCTAACAGGTTTTTTTGCATAAAAAGGAGGTTGACCTGAGAGGTCAAAAAGTACTCAAAATATTTTTCACAAACTAAGAATGTTCACTCCAATGGATCAAGTATTACCTCTCTTCTAGCTGTTTTAAACAAAATTTGCAGTTCATTCAGCAAATAGTTTCTTTAGTGATAGGTATGTAAGTCTAACTACTACTAGGTAGATATTTAACTTGCCCTGAAATACTGTAACAGGACTTAAAAGGAAAAGAAAACACATCTAATCAAAAACCCCTCAAAAAAAACCCCAAAAAAACCAAAAAAACAACCAAGAGGGATTGGAGTTGACATTGTAATCAAAAAGTCTAAAGTTTGCTAAAGGCAACTGAAATAAGTAAGAGCTCCTCACAGTGGAGCAAGCTTAAGATGGAAAGGGCACTAAAAATATCAGTAGCTTTTCCAACTGTTTATTTCCTTCCTTATTGTCTGCCAAAGACTTTCTATTGGACCCCAACTGCTAATGCAATTATGACTGGAATATGCAGTTGCACCAAGAGGGCTGAACACAATCGCTGAAGAAAATGCAGTGTGAAAGGGATGTTTCTGAAACTGTTTGGTTTGTGGAATGTGGCTTATGGCACAACTCCCTTCTGAACAACCCATCTCTTCCATAAGTAAACACATATTTTGATTTCCACAGGGTTTTTTTTAATACAGGTATATAGTATACTGTACATATAAATACTGTATATATATACACTGCACTTCTAACATCATATAGTTTATTTCTAATATCATAGAGTTGATGGTATCAAAAAGATTAGAAAAATTCGAAAAACCTTCTCTCTAGCAATTCACCCTTGTGATGAGATGTAACAGACTATCTTTCAGCATGACTTATTCAAAGAGTCAAGTATCAGCATTAGCATGAATCTAGAAATGCTTTATTCAGCCCTGGTTTTATGGGACTACCTTTTATTACAAGCACTAAAAAACCCAACTTCTACAATTTAGACATACCTATTTCTAATTCTGTCTTAGAAAGACAAGACTTTGTTTTCTAAAGTTGACAGTACTTATGCCTGAATATTAAAATATTTGTAAAGCATGGTCAGGTAAGGATCAGAAAGAAAACAGCTGAGGAGAACACAGATACAGCGGAAAATTACTATTGCAACACCAGAAGCTTTGAGCCCTGCACCTTGCCAAGTGCTCACCTGAGGGTGTACAAGATCTTGCCATCATTCCATATGCGGAGGAGTTGGTTGGGGGTGGTGATCCAGTGAGCCTCCGCTGTCTTTGAGTTACGAAATATAGTGTCTGGGATCCAGATCAAGCCAACCATGTTGCTGTTTAGAGTCAGTATTTTCATGGTGCTGTTGAAGCGAAGACGGCTATCTGTCCACGTCTGGGCAAAAAATACATCAATTTGATACTCCTGCAAAGAAAGTATGACACACAAATTGAAATCTGTTCCATACTTCCCACTACTATTTGGTGTTTGGTTAGGCCTGTTCTGCTGTAGAGCCACAGGATACATTCTGGCCAATGGAGCTATGCTTTCTTTTTGTTTTGCTGCCTGAGGAAATTTTCTTTTCCTTTTTTCTTTCCCTTCCCCCCCCTCCACCCTTTTTTCAGATCTATGTGCTTTATGAAACAGGCCAAACATCTCACTTGCATGGTCCTGTGCGATAACAGTTTCTGCATGAGCACGTTCTTTTCCATTGTATCTAAAAAGTCACAGCTACAAGGTACAATTTGTAGACTTCTTTGTCATAGGACAGACTGACAAAAGACATGTGAAAGATGAACAGGACCAACACACATAAGCTAGAGAATGGTAAATTTCCCTGATTATGCCCTTTAGGGAGAAGATCGTGTAAATTCAGTAAATTAATTGTTCTGCTTGCTAGCAATTGTTCAGACACTGTTTCTGAGGCCACACTGCAGCAAAATGAAAAGGCATGTTAGTGCTCCTTTACAGATACCTCATGTGCACCTAATGCTAGGAGTGGAACAATTGGCCCTGAATAGGCTAATACCATAATTTACATGAAATTCATCCTTTCTTTCACTCGATGTTTACTACTGTGTTTTTGTAAGTAAGCCATCATATTAGGTATAAATGCAGAAATTAAAATACATATGAACAAACAGACAAAACTACATAGGTGAACACATTAAAAATGCTGATTTATGCATTTAATACCCCATAGAAGAAACTGAATTTTAATTTTGTATTTGAATTGCATTTGAATTCACATATTTTGTATGTGAATTCCAGCCACCAGAGGTTGGGAAAGGTCATGTTACATTTGTTTGTGTTCCTCTTCCTCTTTTCAGACCCTGTAGAAACAGACATCTGACTGTGTCATGCAATACCCTCTCAGTATTGCAGGTGTGGCTGCATCCATAACAGAGATGGTGTTTGTTGATGGGACACAAAGTGTATGCTCTACAACACAGGCTATTAGAGGGGTTGGGAATAATCCACAGGAAAACAACTCATTAGGACCCCTGGTAGATGCACTCTACCAGGAGAATTAAGGCTATGTGGAAAGTCTGGAGTGTCTTTGTCTTTGACCACTCTGAACTTCTTTTTATTGCCTTTTTGTTTGTCTATTCCTAAGTTTTAACACAACAGTATTATATCTTTTTTTCTTTATAGATAGTAAGTAAAGGTTGCAATCTGGACTGAGGACAGCGTTTTTGCTAAGAGCCATCTGTTTTTCCTACACTATTACATTTTTGGCAGGCCATCCTTCCAAAGGTGATGTTATAACACCAGGAAACCTAATCCACTGGCACTGTAATCCAAGTCCAAAACACACTTTGGGCCTCTCATCTCTAGATGGTAAATGAGCAAAAGGTGCTAGTACGTATCCAAATACCAGCAGTAGATTACCTCAGGAATTAAAGCCTAGTCACCAAAGGCATTAAGGACCATATTCCGTATAGCTTATCTCGCTACCATTTTTCATTGTATTATTAGCTTTATTTTCTCAGGGAAGATGACAGATTTGAATCTGAAGAGACTTTCATATTGATGACATCTTCACACATCTGAAGGATGCAATGTAATGCACCCAGTGTACCTTTATTATTCGAAAAGAACATCTTTAGTTCACCACATTTTAGACGGTAGAGCCCTGGTCTTGTTTCTTTACAATCAATTCCATTTTAGTCTTTGGAAGTCTAGTGAAATCATTTGGTACATTCAGCTCCTGTAGAGAGGAATATGCCAGACATGTCTATGGGTTTCTCCAAATGCTGTGAGAGAAGAGTTGCTTTTTTTAGCTCACATGTGAGAATCTGTATTTATAGAATCAAAGACCATTTGTATACAGCTGGCTAATGACAGTGCTGTCTTTTCATGGGACAAGTTTTTGCGTGATATTCATATTTGAGCTTATTTTATATGAATGCTTCATTTTGACTAAATTTAGAAGCAACCATAGTTCCTTTCTAGTATATCATACATATTTAATGATTTTTAGGATTTGAGATATTCAGGATTTCTACCCCGTCAAAAGAATAATAAAGACCTTGAGCTCCCTAACACATTGTCCTGAGAAGGTACTGCAGCTAGATCTGAGAAAAGTGGGCCCCAGGAGCAGTATAAATGTAACATTGTGATTTCTATTCCGGTAAATTACTTTGGCTGAGAAACAGAATACATTAGCCTAGAAGCAGGGTAGTGCTAACACCACTGTCCACCTCCAATTTTTTATCTTCTTTACTTATTACTGCAACTAGAACATGCCAGCAAAGGTCATTATTCAAAATATCTCTGCAATGGGCCACTGTAACTCCATTCACCTTAATAAAAGCATTTCAACTCAAATTAAATGGTTCACAGATCTTTTGAATTAATTAGTTCTGTAAAAAACTCAATTTTTCTTTTTGTAAACAGAGGTCAGAGAAATCAAAGCAACAATTTAAAAAGCAAAGTCAATAAGTTGGTGGAAATTGACTTTTTAAACACTTTATCCTTTTTTTCATTTAAAGTATTTACAATGCTGTCAGAATGTACAGTCTACAAAAAAAATCCCAGTAAAAATACACATTTCCATATAATATCTGAATTTCAATTCTCTCCATTAATCTTTTTTAGAAGTCACTGTTACATCAGTACATACTTTACATTAATCTTTTGGATTTCTTCAGTCTTGGTTAACCAAGCAGATAATGGGGTATGATATTTATGTATTCACTCTACTATAAAGGTACAGAGGTGGCTTTCAAAATTGGCACTCAGTTCTTCTCTTCTAATGGTTTTAAGCCTATGCATATTTCAGGAAAATTACCTCTATCTTCCCTGACAACAGATACTCCATTCCCAGTGAAGTCAACAGCTTCCATATGTTGCTTTGCACAAAGCTGGTACAGTGATCTCCAACACACAGCATCCAACAAGAAACTGCCAGAAGAAAGGTTTCTATGTTGGTTTTATATACAGCTCAATATAATGTAATATAAGAAAGTAATGCTCTTCATTTGCTAGCTAATATCTGCCATTTTAGATCTTTATGAAATGTAACAATTGCACTTAGAGTTCAGAGAGGACATCAGGTTTCAGTGATGTGATGCCTCAGATGAAGTAGCATCATACAACTCTTACAATATTCTTTATGTTCTGTTCTACTGCTGCAGCAGAAGTGTTGTTAATATCCTTCTGATTCTTTATTTTTATTTTTATGTTTTTGGCAGCAACCATTGACTACTACAATGAACACAGGAAGAAGTCAAAACCAGCAAAATTTTCGACAAGACTGCTTCACAGCAGCAGAAAAGTAAAACTATGTTCTCCATGGAATGCCAAGGTTGTGTACAGTAAATTGTTCTCCTACTGAGTTTTTTTGTCTTAATGGTACCTGGTTTGCCATACTAGCAAAATAAACTTAAGATTTTTCCTACTTTATACCACATATTCACACTTTGCCTTAATGCATTAACTGAAGCTACGCTCCAGAGCAGCCAAACTTTCAAAAAAGCATTCTCTTTAAGAAGGGACAACCCTAACAGAAGAAATAGGTCTACATGCTAACATGAAGGGAAATTCTAGGGAAATCTTATTTCCTTTAGTACATATACATATTTCTGAAATAGTATTAAATTTCACTGATAGGAAATTGATTATAAACTTGAAAGAATTGATAGAAGTATAATTTATTATCAGTTTTAATGGATTTCATTTTGTTTGGCTTTAAAAGTAAATTCATGAACCACGCTACATGTTAAATTGCCCAGTCTTAGAAAATTCACCGAAATGAAAACTGTTTGAGAAATCCACAATCTGTCCAAATCTGATTATATATGGATTCTTTTAATTATAAAAGAAACAGTTTTAAGAAATTGAGAAAGTAGGAATGTGAAGCTAAAATATGAAAATTTTTCCTAGTTGAAGACTCCTGACATATACAAGTACTCAGCTGAATCTCTAACCACACAATATTATGTCTTTTAAGAAATTTTAAATTATCAATATTTTTTACTCTTTCTGGAAAGAGTACATTAAAACTGTATCAGTTTATTTGTATTTTGTTTGATTATATGGAAATATAAAGACTCATTTCTGACAGCTAATGTGTATCTCTGTGTGAAATGTCTTTGTTTTCTTTTTTACCTTCTGATGATAAATAGTTTATGACCAAGAATTTGTCATCGGTTCTTTTTTGCAAATTACCCTTAAATGAATGCTTTATCTTATACATTTCATCATGTAAAAAGATTGTTTTACCTGCAAGACTTCCATTGCAAGAAACATTCAGTAAAACCTGAAAATTATAAGTGACATTGTGTCACTGAAAACCTCTTTATCACCCTCTATGAGGTTTTCTTTGAAAATGGCATTTTAAAATTGGCATCTGACAACATTCACTTAACTTCCAAAAGAAACTCCTAGAACCAAGGAAACAGATTATGATCCTTTTACAGTACACTATGCAAGTAATTGCCTCATGTAGAATATTTCTTCCCATTCAAATTTCATAAGTTCTCCTTTAAATCCAAAACATTTTCTGAGAAAAATGACTGAATGAGACAAGGAAAGTTAAATGGTATTTTTCTGTTATATGGTTACATACAGAGCAAGAAGCTAAAGACAATTTTTCTTTTTTTTTTTTTTTTCAGATATTCCTAATGTGGTTTCATTAGTGCCTTGAAAATAATCAGGTCAGCAGTGAACTGCTTGCCCTTCACCTGTGTAGGAATGATAATGACTGGGAGCACCTTGAAAGTGCCATTGTTTGAGGCATCTGTAAACACAGAGAAAAATACACGCTTTTCAACCAAGTCTTTCATTGTTTTCTCAGTCAAAAGAGCCACCAACCTGTTGTTGGCAATAAATGAAGCTTTTCTCCTTTCATGGTGTATCATTTTAGCTGTTGGTTAATCCTGGAAATTACTATTTCATTGGCTGTCGCAGTCAGGTAATGG